CCCTGAATCAAACATTAAGGTCACGAGAATCAAGAAAATGATCACTAACTTGTAAAGCTCTTGATTTTTAAACAAAATCTCCTTGTGAGTCTTTCAGGAAATGCTTAGAGAACAGTATGGAGAATATGCATATTGATGTTAAAGTGTAAAAGGTTTAGTTAACCTTCCCCCACCCATTTCATCATCCCCATTGTAGCATAAAGCAAGAGACAAGAGATTTAAGATGTTCAAAACATGTTTTACTATTCCTTAAAACTCTGCCAATAATAATTTATAAAAATGTCATTTTAGGTACATTTTTCTTGGTTCAAAAATACACATTATATACAGATCACATTAAAAATACAAGAACCACCATCCCAGATTATTAGTTACATAGACGGAAAAGTGATTGAATGCTGGACATGGGCATCTTTTATCTGCCTTTCGGTTCACCAAGACCCCACATCATAAATAGAGATACTTAGTTAATATATAATATTTGGTAATTAACCCTGGAGCATTTACAGAGGAGAGTAAAATTTACAATTATCTACAGAATTTTTAGGGAATTTTTTTTAAGCCAAGATTTTGAACTAGGAAATAGTACTGAGAATCAACACAGCTGAGAACCCTTTAGAAAGAAAGAGTTTCTAATACCCACAAGACTGTGTATTCCTGAATTCTAGTTGCAACAATTACATAATGATTTTGCCAGAAGAGAAATGTTTATGGGTATGCAATAACGTACAAATGCAAGAAAGTTGCATTATTGATGTCTGTCTTCATGTGCTCTTCAACCATTTGATGCCACCTCTATTGATGCAAACAAGGGATTGCTTCAAGATGTGGTTGAGCAAGATGTGAAAGAAAAGGTTGAACTAATAGGTACATAAAACAACTTTGGTAATTTTGCCACACAAAGGAAATTGACTGATCAATGAACGTTGCTTGGAAGTTAACCTGAAACTTAGCACAGATGTTTTACCAGTTTTCAAAAGTTACAAGCCGTGTCAATAATCACTATGTTGCCTTAGAGTTTCATAATTTTGACGTCATTTCAAGGCAGCTGGTCTTTAAGATATCACCTTGATTAACTACTTCCCTACAGGAGGATTTTTTTTTGGTCACAAACAACCAATTTACTGGAATTTTTGAGCAGAAAGCATCCATCACACCATAATAATTTAATAGTGATTGTTTGGAAATTATTTGATAGTAGTATCTCTCTCCTTTGGATGGACAGTTTGATGGTTGGATAAGTTCAACTCCTACACAATTTTTCTATTTACATCTTGTAAACCATAAATTATTCTATGCTCAAATGTTTGACATCCCATGTTAAGAAATGAGATGGTTGTCGATTGAATAGTGATATTATGTGCTGGAGTTATTTTGCATAAACCTTCCTGGAAATATTTTAAACAGTCTGTGAGCTCAGCACCAGTTGAAAGAAGCCAAACCAAACCTTTGATACAAATTTTTAAGAAAGAAGACGTCTCCAAAAAGGAAGCTTTTTAACATGCAAAACTGCAACTATCAGATAATTATGAGGGCCTACATTTTAACCTAATTTCAGTGTTGAAAGCTAAGGGCAGTGTTTTTAAACTTGCGCAAAAAGCAAGAGCAGTAATGCTTATGTCTGACCATATTCATACACGATTAACCTTAACTTTAGTAAATTTGTCTGACTACAATTGTACTGTCTCCCCCCTCCCCTCTCCTCCCAATGCTCTACCCAGCTGTATTCCCAAATGAATTATTATGTAAGCCACATAGGTGCAAGAAACACCAACTAAAACAGGATTCTAGGAGACATGAATCAAATATGATCATTGAAAATCATGCCTGTAATTTAACTATTTAACTCTCCTCGAGTTTGCAGTTAAACCCCCATCACTCCCCACACTGCTCCCAGTACTAAAACGATCATCTGACTCACTACTGGCATAACCAGCTTCCTCATCATTTTCCACATCAATTTCCTCGCCACTTGTAGAGGAATCGCCTTCAGAGTGCCGCGGCCTCTTTGCCCCTGGGACTTCCTTGTCACCGCGAAGGAGGGCTAACCTTCTTTGAAGGTCATATCTCTCTTGGGCAAGCTTTCTCTTAGTGTCTATCGCCTCTTTCTCTGTCATTTGTAAAACCTACAAACACAATACAGAAACAAATTACTGTGATAACAATTACACAGTCAATCTCCAAAAATTAATAACATCACTAACAGACAAAAGGAAAGGTATGTCATGATTCAAGTTTTATCTATTTTTCAATTTAAATGTTAATTCATAGGCAATTAAGTGGTATTAGTCAAATTGTGACAACACAATATATTTCAAACTAGAGTTCTTGTTTTCGGCAACTCTTTCCTCAAATTCAAAGGGCATCCAAAAAAAATCTCTCCTCTCTAATATATCTAATTACAAATCTCAGCATGATGTAAACAATAAATAAATTCATCAATTTTTTTCATTTCCACTACAATCAAACTTATGAGTGCATTTAAAAAAAAAGATCTTCCTCCTTTTTTCATTAAAAATTTTGTTGTTATGTAAATTCAAGTGATTTGTAAAACACAGTATGTATCTTGTGCAAACACCCAGCCATTCACAATTACTTTATTAAATTCACAGTTTGATTGTCAAAAATGGAAATAATAGGGAAAGATTCCAGTCTAAGGACAACACAGGTTTGTCAATCAAGTTTATAAACATTCACCAAATTAAAAATGTTAATCGACTTTTGCAAATGATTTCTATCTTCAGAAAACAATGGCTGAATAGATTTATTGCCTTGATATGCTGTACATTAAATTTCACCAATAAACTTCATAAAAAAATTTGGTTTTCAGTGTCTCTAAACAGCCCAGACACTGGTAAACCATCCTTTCAAACTTGCATTTTTCCTTCTTCCTTACAAACAGCTGCAGATTTTAACATCCTTTTTTTCTAATTTTCCTAAGGAAAAATATACTGATTGCAGTTGTAACTTCACAGAAAAAATAAACACCCATATCACCAAAATATTAATCAAATGACGGCATGAAGTCAATGGAATATTGTCTTAGTATTTTATACCCTGAGTGAGTAAAAATATATAATTTCTGACACAGCACTAGCTTAGAAACACTTTTCAGAGTACAATTAACACCACATGCTTTTTTCAAAAACTGCAGACAGCAGCAGTATGCAACATAATTCCCAACCGAACAAAAGAAATAAAGTCTTCATTACATTTGGCAAAGCAAGATTTCGTGCTTCACTTAAATCTAATTTTGCAAAATACATAAACCCTTCTTATCCATTAGAGAAACAAGAGTTTCATTAAAAAGAGCTGACATATTTTTAGTGGACAGAAGTACCTACAGAGCTGTAGATTCAAAAGTATTTCCTGTGCTCAGCAATAAAGAAAATATCCCACTGTTCCACATCAAATTGAAAACAGTTATTATGTCTATTTTGCAGAACATACATTGGTGTACTAGAGATAACATATCAGAGTGTGCAAATGTCCATGAAAAAAATTGGGAAACATGGCACAAAATTTAAATAAAACAAATAAAAATGTACATTTAGGTTCTCCCTGAAAATCTTTTTTAAAGAAAGCAAGATTAACATCTCCCTTTGAAAGTTAAAGATTATTCTAAATTTTTTAAAATGTTCCTTAAATTTTGGCTCCATGAATGTATACATTCTTTTTTGGTCCATACCAACATTTCAGTACTACTAGGTTTATTTAAAGAGATGAAGGCATTTTAATGAGGCAGAAATTTCCTCCATGAATTCTTAAATTTCGCTTTAAGGCCTTTCACTCCCATGAGTGACCAAGACAGAGTTTCTCCTTACAGCATCAATACAATGTCAACCAGATAAGTGATGAGAATAAAGAAAAATATAAGAAAAATATCAATTTGGGGA